ATTGCATGCTTTATTGATTCAAAGTTGGTTGTATATATAGCCTTTTACATAAGAAACTGAACATAAAACTAGTAGTGAAAATCTAAAGAAATCTAAACGAATTCAAACATTTTTAGAATCCCTTGATAATAGGAACAAATAACAAACTACCTAACATTCTCCCTTAAATTGAACATTAAAATTCAGTTTACATCAATTTCTGAACATACTCCCAATAATTCACGCAACTTCAAAAATACATCCAACTTGAGAGGTTTTTTCATGATGTCGGCCAATTGATCTTGTGTGCTGCAATGTACCAACTCCACCATACCAGCCTTGGTAAGTTCTCGAAGTAAATGGAAACGCACATCTATATGCTTGCTTCGACCGTGCATTACTGGATTTTTTTGAAAGTTTGATGGCTAAACTAGTATCACATTGAATGATAATTGACTTGTTCTGATTTTGCCCTAATTTTCCAAGTACACTCTTCAAGCACACAACTTGACAAGTACAAGAAGCAGCAACAATGAATTTAGCTTCAGTAGTGGATAACTTACCACCGGTTGCTTTTTCGATGACCAAGATATTGCTCCTGAACTCAATAAAATCACATTGCCCGAAGTGCTCTTCCTATCATCCAACTCACCAGCATAATCACTATCCATATAAGAAATCAAACCATCTTCTTCTCTCTTCCTATAATAAATTCCAAACCCAGTAGTTCCCTGCAAATATCTTAACACTCGTTTTGCCCCCTGCAAATGCAAGGATTCTCCATGCATCGACTAATCGAATTCCCTACAAACATTATATCTGGGCGAGTTACCTTGAGATACATCAGACTACCCATAATTTGTTTGTAATAAGTCTTGTTCACCTTAACTCCATCTTCATCCTTCATGAGCCTAATGCTAGGAACAATCGGATTACGCACGAAATTACAGTTGCTCATTCCAAGTTTGTGTAGAAGTTCTAATGTGTACTCGCAAAAAAAAAAAAACGTCTGATTTCTGCAACACTTCAAGACAAAGGAAATACCTTAATTTTCCAAGATCAGTCATATCAAATTCATTCTTCACCGAGGCATTGAATTCTGCAATCAACAATTCATTATTTCCAGTAAAAATAAGATCATCAACATAGAGACTTACAATCAAAATTTTTCCTTCGTCCTTTGTTTTTACAAGCAAGGTATGCTCAGTCACATTTCTCAAAACCTTTGTCATAATTATTTTTTTAAAATTTAATAAAATAATTAATTATTATTTAAGAAAAAACAATTATGACTACCTTCATTGATAAAATAAACTTCAATGCGACTGTACCAAGCACGTGGTGCTCGTTTAAGTCCATAAAGTGCCTTTTTTAGCTTATAAACCTTATGATCATTTCCCTTTTTCACAGAACCAAAAGATTGCTCAATAAAAACATTTTCATTCAACTCACCATGCAAAAATAAAATAAAACAGATTTCACATCTAGTTGATAGAGGGTCCATCCCTTTTGAGCGGTAAGTGCGATAATCAATCGAATTGTTTCCATACGTGCTACAGGTGCAAATACCTCCTTGTAGTCCACTCCATATTGCTGAGCGTATCCCTTCACAACAAGTCGAGCCTTGTATTTATTTACCTCCCAATTTTCATCAATCTTGGACTTATAAACCCACTTCACTCCCACCTTCTTCGCACCTTGTGGTAAGTCCACCATTTCCCATTTATTGTTTCGTTCTATTGCTTTCATTTCAACATCCCTTTCTTTTCTCCATTTCTCAAGTTTTACTGCATCTACAAAATGAACAGGATCAGCAGTAGCAAATAAAACGAAATGAGATGAATTCTCTTCCTCAGATAGTCCCTCTCCTGATACATAATCTCTCATCCAAAACGGTGGCATTCTATTTCTCTTCCTCATAACTATCTTACTGCAAGAAGATGAAGAATTTCTTCATCAAGATGAACACCAGTAGCATCCCCTTCTTCAACATCAACTGCACCCTCATCTTCTTCTAAGGATGTTTCGCCATTTGTTTAATCACTCCATTCCAGATCGCACGCAATGGCAGCTTCATATGTCTTATCCAAATCACAACATTTGTCTTCTTCAAATACCACATCTATACTTATTACAATCCTTTTTGAAATTGGATTGTAAAGCCTGTACACCTTTGACTCTTTGCTAACTCCAAGATTAACACAACTGAAACTCTTATCATCTAGTTTACTTCTTATACTATCAGGCACATGAACATGTGAAACACATCCGAACACTCGAAAGTACTCAACTAAAGGTTTCACTCCACTCCAAGCTTCCTCTAGTGTTTGATCTTTCACCGCCATTGTTGGACTGCGATTCAACCAGTTTACCGCCTCAGGACAAAAAGTTTTGGAAATTTCTTTTTCGAGAGCATACTACGAACCATATTCATGATGGTCCTATTTTTCCGTTCGACAAACCGTTCTGCTGTGGCGAATATGTTGCTGTGAATTGTCTTTGTAAACCATTTACATCACAAAAATTGTTGAAATCTCCTGATGTGAATTCCCCTTCGACCAATTCGTAAAATTTTAATAGATAAACCTGATTCCTTCTCAACACATATTTTAAAACTTTTGAAATTTGAAGAGCATTAGATTCTTTAGAGAAGAAATAAATCCAAGTTTTTCTACTGAAGTCATCAGTAAAAGTAAGTATATACCTCTTTTTACTATTGGAGATGGGTGAAATTGGTCCACAAATGTCGCCATGTACCAACGAAGAACATGTGATGCTTTCCAAGTGCTCTTCTTTGGAAACACACCCCTATGTTGCTTTCCTAAGAGACAATATTTGTACAGCTTTGATGGCGACATGAGTTGTGTAACCCATTCACTATAACCTTTTGTTGAAGAGTTCCTAGGCCTTTAAAGCCTAAGTGCCCATATCTGCAATGCAAAAGGTGCACCAAATCTTCTGTAATTGTATTGAAACAAGCTGATGCAACTGGTTGACATATAGCAGTGAACATGTACATCCAATTAGAAGACATTTTCACATCCATGATTAAACCTCTCTTTGGATGAAACACCTTACATTTTTCACGCTGAAATAAACAGGCCAATCCCTTTTCTTGCAACTGTCTAATGCTAAGCAAATTATTCTTTAATCGTGGTACGTAAAATACTCCAGTAAGAATCTGCATGACTCCATGAATTTGCAGCCTTGCATTGCCCCTTCCCATTACAGTCATGCTTGAATTATTGCCCAGCTTTACCTTATCTCTAAAATTTTCATCAAAGTCCATAAAGTAATCCTTTATTCCGCATATATGGTTGCTGCATCCAGAGTCCAAAAACCAAATGTCCCTTTTGTTGAGCGTATGTATGTCCACAAATGCCATCAACAACATTTCTTCTTGGGTTTCTATGTAATTGGCCTTTTTGGTTTGACACCCCATTGAAAATGCCCAAGCTTATGACAATTGTAACATTCGATAGTAGATTTATCAAAAAATTGTCGTCCTCTTCCTCGACCTCTTCCTCCATAGCTTCCTTGGCCTTGACTGTCTCAACCTTTTCCTTCATATCGATCTCCAATAGAGATCTTCAATGCATGTGTTTATTCAACTAAAGGAGTTGTACTGATGTGCTGCTCATGAACTAGCAAATTGCTTTGTAATTCATCAATACTCAAAGTGCTTGTGTCTTTAGACACCTAAATTGTACACACAACATAGTTAAATTTAGGAGTCATTGATCTGAAAATTTTCATTACCACTTCCTCATCGCTCTTGCGCTCACCATTTGCTTTCATTTTATTAGCACTGGTAAGAGTGCGAGCAAAATACTCATTAACAGACTCACTAGCCTTCATTTCAAGAACCTCGAACTCTTTCCGTAGAGTTTGCAATTGATATCGTTTGAATCTTGTGGCCCCTTGATATTTTTGTCTCATAGAGTCCCATACACTTTTAGAGGTGTCCCAATACTCAAGGTGCTTGTGTCTTTAGACTCCTCAATTGTACACACAACATAGGCTAAATTTGCTTTGTGTTTAATCAGGTCTTAAAATGGCTCCTGATACCAAATGTTATAACTAGACTAAAAAATATGAAGTTTAGAGGAAATTGCATACTTTATTGAATCAAAGTTGGTTGTATATATAACCTTTTACATAACGAAACTAAACATAAAACTAGTAGTGAAAATCTAAAGAAATCTAAACAAATTCAAGCACTTTTAGAATTCCTTGATAATAGGAACAAATAATAAACAACCTAACATTGGCAAGCTTGTGGAAAAGAGTGATGAAAAACAAATCCTCTATATCTAATATAAACCGTTAAATTATTAATTTATATTTAATATTATATTTAAGTATGATTGTAATGTTATGCATGAACCGAGTGATTTTAATTATTAACGGGTTTGTTATTCTTGTTAGAAATCCTAAGTTCGAGCATCGATAGGGATATGAGCATTCATAGTTAATTGGTCAAGAGTTTTTGAGTAGATATTACTCTGTATTCACCCTATATTTATTTAAAAAAAAACATACCTAACATTTAATTTATGTTTCATTTTAATACTTTTTTATTAAAAATTTAGCGCGTTTAATACTTAAACTATCAGTTTTGATCTGTTTTGGTACCTAAACTTTCTATTTTTTTTTAAAAAAAAAATTAACATTAAGTTTTTAACGGTGTACTAAAATGAAACAAAAACTAAACGTTAGGCATGATTTTGAAAAAATTGAAAGTTTAGACACTACAAAAGATCAAAAATGATAGTTTAAATACTATATGTGCAGTTTACTCTAAAATTTTAATTAACAATAAGATCTATACATTGGTCAGGTTGTCAAAGATGCTCATATTATCTCATTTTGCGTGGATTGAAATCTTGACATTTATTTCATTTTAGTATATAAACACTATTCTACTTGATAAAAAAATGGGTTAACAACTGAAAATTAATGAGATATCATCCGCTGCGTAACAAACTCAGAACTTTAAAATTCAGTACATTTCCAAGTTCACTCACTTAAAACTTCATATTCCCATGATACAATATGGCACACAAATCAATAAATAAAGTAATACAATTTACAGCACAAATCTTCAATCTCGTGCTATCTTACAACTATTATCTGCTTCTTACTTAGAAGATTAGTTTAGGATACAATTTTCTCATTGCCCTGTTTTGATGATAAGCATAGATTTTAATAGGGGTATGTTTTCGGAATAACAATCGTTATATAATGGTAGCGATGCCTTCGGAAACTGTTATTATATGACTGTAGTACTCACAATGACCATAATAGTGTTTGTTGTGTCGGTAATAGCAATAAACACAACACGACAACAACCTCAATTTAAATCCCTAATGATAAGCTTACATACAACTCGCGATGTAAACAAACATAAAGCAACCTTATAAGATAAACCTATGTTCCTACCAGAAATCCCCTCACCAGAAATCCCCTCTTTAAAATTTTTCATGAGAGAAATTAAGGTAAGTAGTAACCTTGAGTTGAGTCATAGTTGTCGACGAGAGCCAGGGCATTGCTCGTCAAATGTGCAATTTTAACAATTCGTTTCCTCACCGCAGTCTTTGCATATCCATTCATGTTGTTCCCTTCAAATGCATCCATACAAGTATCCTCGTCCATCAGTGCCGCGCTAATCCAGGTCTGAACATCGCTCATTGAAAGCGAAAAGTTCGAGCTACTAATGTGACCGAGTTCTCCTATAGACTGTTGCAGCTCATCGATGGAGTCCCTGATCACCTCGACGCAATCGGCCATGGTAACGGCTACCTCGGCTCCTGGCCATGGAATCGTGAGATCTTCATCATCAGCCTCAAAGTAGATTTGGTTTCCCTGAGGGTTACATTGGGGGCCGTGTGCACTAACAATCTAGGGCTGGAGTTGATTTTGGTTTCGTAGACGGAGAGTGAACGGTAAAACAAAATGGGATAAGTTGTGGAGTTGCATGAAGATTTGATGTAGTCCACGTTTCTTTCGTTGTGAAACGGTGGATAAGCTAAGGTTAAACCGATATATGAAGTGAAATGAAGGACAATGAAGAGGATTGCTTGTCCATGTCGACAGGCTCGGCCCAATACATGTGTAAGATAGGCCTTAACTCAGGGCAACATGTTTGAGGGGCATCATCCCTGCTGTCAGGCACAAAATGATGATTATTGATTTAACGAGCTCATTCCTCAGTTATTTACCTCACTACCAGCTCTAAATGAAACCGTTTCTTCTCTTGCTCGAACAACTAAATTCTTTATTGGTCTTTTTTCTAATATTGCCTGTAAGTTGTTTCTCTTCATCTTGTATTTCTGCTCTCCCTTTTCCGTCTGCAGTATTTATGTTGTTCACATGTTTTTTTTCCTTTTTCTTTTCTGAGATTTAATCATTTGCCTTTGATATTTTCATGTGAAACTTGCTGATAAATCAAACTAATGGTTTTCTTCATTTCTTTTTGGCTTTTATTTCTTCTTCTCATTGATTTTACCCTTGAACTATGGATGTTTTTGAAAATCTTTTAGCAATGTTGCAGTGGCTTCTTCTACTAGATATTCGAGTGATTCCGTTCTACATGCACAAGAAATAAAAACATTTTCTTCTGTACCGACTGAAAATGGTTCTGTGGTTAGGAATCATCAAATTTCAAGTGAGAGCAGCATTGTCTCTGCGGGAGATCCATCTGAAATAATTGATTCAATTATACAATCAAGTCAGAAAAGGAAAAATGGGATTTCCATTTTTCATGGGTACAGATTCCTGTATGCTTAATTTTGAATGTCTTCTATGAGGAAATTTGTGAAAATGGATGTGATTCAAAAATGCCTTCCATAATATTATTAAATAGTTGTAGTTACAATGCCAAAAAGGTCAAAGCATTTGAAGTTTTTAAGTTCCACATATGCTCTCAATGGAGCTACTTTTCAATTAAAATCATAGAGTTTTATGGTTAATAATCTTCCCTTTTCTTTTGATATCTATTACTAGTGCTTTTTAGAGAAGAAACAGTTCTAATTATGGGTATTATATGAAGTAATGAATTATTCCAATTTTTCAAAAATAATAAAAAAAATCAGGCTCATTAAAAGAGCACAGAGGACTGTTCGTAAATAATAGAGGTTTTTGCTTCAAAAAATGCACGAAGACATCGTTTTAGGTGATATTTGTAGCTTTGTAAGTTTTGGTTTGTATTAGTATTGATATTGTTTGATTATAATTTCTATTACATTTTTGTTTTAAAAAAATTATTTATGTTTTGTCAATTATACAGTTCAAGTATAGGGGCATAAAATTATTATCTCTCCCAGAATATTAAAACTCATTGAACCGACCCTGCAAGTCGACATGATGAACCTTTCGTTTTGTTTTTATTTTTCCTCTCGGGAGAATTAGTGGAGATTTGGTGGTTTTAGAGAGGTGACACAATGGTTTATTTATAGACAGAAAATAAGCTTTGTGGTTCCCACAAATAAGAAAAAGCCTGATTTCAAGGGGGTGTGGGTTAAACAATGATGTTTAAAAGGTAGAAAAAGATGCTGGTAAAATAATCAATACAATTATTTAACAGCAGTTAAAAAATAAGAAATTGTCTTCTTGGGTAATCCTAGGTTTAAGGGAGCCTATTCTGAAAACATAAACATAATTAAAGGTTTCAGTTCAGCTCGAATATCATTGAGTTAAATTTGATTTAAAAAGTTCAAAGCAGAGCTTAACTCGACTCATAAGTGTTTGAACTTAAAATTATTAAGTTCGATTTAAACTCGAAATAAAAAAATTAAAGTTCGAATTTAACTCGAAAAAATTGAATTCAAAATATTCTCATACTTAGCTCGATTGAAGCTCAAACTCGAGTTCGGTTCATGCTCGAACTCGGACTGAAATCTTAAACACATGAAAATCTTATATTGTATTTTTAATAAATCATACAAGTGTTAATATTATTAATAATCTAATTTAAAAAATAATATATTATTTTTTCGGGTTGTTTGTGAGTGTTTCAAATCATGTATCAAGTAGTTTACTTCGGCTCGTTAAAAACTTAAGTGGAGTTCGAACTAAAGTCAATTTCATTTTATTCAAATATTGACCATATTTTAAATTAAATTCAGATAACTCAAGATCTACCTCGTCTCATTTACAACTTTAAACATTATCCATAAAAAAAATTAAACACTTGAGTTTTCTTTCCTTTATTTAAATTTTATTTTTGTCGAATCTCAAAGTGTTGTCATTTGTCAATAATCTTATCTACCAACATTATGAGTCGACATAATAACCGCAGGGGGACGAAAAATAAAGGAAATTTGAAATATTTCATATTTTAGAACTATAATTGATGTAAAAGTGAGGCATCAATGGTCAATAACTGTCTTTGAACTTGTTAATGTCTTTTGGCAACACTGGGAATTTTAAAAAAAAACTTGAAAGGAAAATTTTAATACATTCAAACAACTTTGGTTAAAATAAGTTAAAATTTAAAATTTATAAATTTTCAATTAAATATTTCTTTAATTAATGAATAGTTGAAACTGATCGGATGAGTTTAGTCACAGCAACAGCGATTTGACTATATATGGGTAAGGATTTCACTAAAGCTTTTTCCTCAGCCTCAAAGGCTCAAACCACGTCCAAGCTGTGCATTACCTCTAAATTTATGAGGTGAAGTTTCCATCATGACTCCCACGTGTCAACCAAACACATCAATAGTAAAAAAAAAGTAAAGTATACAAATTGTCCATATTAAAGTCATTATATTATTCAATCTTTCTATTATTAAAATTATAAAAGGATCACATGACTATTTATATATTTTTAAATTCGTTTTTTTATTAAAAAAGTAGTGACTGTTTGAATTTGACATTAATATACTGACTGAGATATGCTAAACTCTTAATTTTTAATAATATCAACTGATATCGTTGTTGCTTTCAAACACTGGCTCAATGACATAATATAAATAAAGAGTCGTACCACAAAACACAGCTCAAACAATTATGAGATTAGATTTCCTCACATCCTAGTTAATAGGTTAATGTCTAGATAAAATGTCTGTCAATATTCTAAAGAAAAATGACGAGTTTGAAATATACAAATAATCAGATGATCATTTTGTAACTTTTAATAGTTAATGGACTTAACAAAACATGCCCTATAATCGATGACTATTTATAACTTTTAATAATCGAATGACTAAACAAAACAACTCCTATAATCGATAGATCATTTGTGTTGTTTATGTTATACAATGATTCAGTCTCGCATGTATGTATATTTCAGAACGATCTTGGGAAAAAGCAGGCATTATATTGCGGTCATGATTCTATTTTAAAGGGTAAACTGTACGATTGCTCACTTAATTATTGACCCCTTTTATTTTGACCACTGATGTTTTAATTTTATCAATCAAAACCACCTAGTTATTTAAATACTTCAATCAAGATGAGCTGTTAAATTTTAATGGCTAGTATCCTGATTGAATCATTCAAATAATTAGATGATTTGATTGACGAAATCAAAATATCAATGGTTACAATGAAAAGGGTTAATAGTTGAATGGTCACCTGTGTAATTTACCATATTTTAAACTATGCCAAAAAAACCGAGTATGTAAATAATTGTTAAGTGGACTGAGAAGCTCATTTGTCTTATTATCCTTGTTTTATTTATTTTCATTAATACTCTAACCAATCTGATCGTGGTAAATGTTATGAAATTTCTTTAATTTCAATGATTTGATTTGTTATCGGCTATCGACCTCATTGTTTTGGAGGGCATCTACGAGGGTGTTTCTGGAGCGAGTCTAATTGCGAGTTGACGAGTATTTAATTCGTGTTTGTGAAAAATATTTATTGTTAGATTCGATTTATTGTTCATTAAGTTCGATAAATTTTTACTCTGTTTATTGTTCATAAGATTTTATATTAGAGTGAACGGATTTATAAAATTTTAAAAGACGAAAATGAATTATTAATAGATAATACAAAGAAAAATATAAATGGCCTTCAAATTTTAGGGGGTAATCGCTCCCAGCCGTGACCCCTAGATCCATCCTTGGTTGCTTGACTCGACTCTCTACTCGTTAAGCTCACCAAAAACTTTACCTTATTTTTTAACTATATGTAAAAAATTAAGACTTCTTTAATGGAATAAGTTTTTAAGGCAACTACTAAAAATTATAGAAAAAAAGTAATGGCATGTTTGTAAATTTATCGAGTCAAGTTAGACCCTACTCGATTCAGCTTGTTAAGATATGGGTCGAATTTAAGTTCGAGTTGAGTCAATCTAAATCAAACATGGACCAAATTCATTAAATACCCCTAACCTTAATAGCTATTTATAAGAATTTTTGAAATATTTCTAGACCCCATTTGCAAGTTAAATTGGGTGTATGTGCATGCATATATGAGGCTTTAAATATGATGCAAATATTTTTGAAAATATTTTGATGATTTATTCTTGTTTGGAGCTTTGTGGCTGTTATTATTTTGTACATAATCTCAACTCTTATTTTATAAATTTTTTATTCTTATCAATAACTCATATGTTAAAAAATTCCTTCCATATTAACAATCTTAACTTAGGACTCTTATTTAGTAAATTTATGTTCTTAAGTTTTAAGAAATAGAAATTAAGTACACAAACTAAGAGACCTTAATGATTAAGAGATTTATTGTTATTTTTTGAGTTTTGAATCCAATCATTAGATATATGTAGAAATTTAAATACTTATTATCAAATAATTAAAAATATTTAAATAGATATTATCTTATATTCATCTTAAATTTATAAAAATACATAAATTGTAATAGAATTTCTAACATTTTAGAAAAAATATTAAGATGATAGTTGTACAAATTCATGGCTAAATATCAGCCGTAGAGCAGTTTGTCCCTACAGGA